GGGATTATAGGCATGACAGGTGTGAGCCACCATGACCAGTGTGTTTTACCAAATGTTTTATTTTAAGCCTTTTAGGACCAGCTCGTCTAAGTTAAAGATTTTAAAAGAGGGATAAAAATTCCGACTTCAAGCTTTTCTTTCCTCTGCCTAGCAATTTCTGAGTGTGGATGTAGCCATTCATGTATGAAATATTTTCCTATTTACCTCTAAAAAGATGCCGTTACTCTCAAATTCTTTGTCCAGCCTCTCATTCTAGTGCAGCTTGGCAGCAGACCTGTGATGAGAGACTGTTCTGGAAGAAGTACCATTGACTTATTGTAGAGTATTTACATTTTGTTAGGCCACAGTGGCATAAGAAATAACATGGGTTTAATATTTTCATATTTACTCCTTGACCTGAAGGGGAGAATGAGAACTCTTTTTCATGTTATTTATCCCATAATATTGTGACTTTTAAATCAGAAGTAGCCAGGGATATTAGAAAGAGATGATAGGGTTTTTATCCTGGGAAAGAAATAAAAAAACAATTTGGAGTTTTATTCTTTGCATTGAGTCAAAAAGAGTAGAAAGCAGGTATTCAAAGGTCATCAACACCTAATATAATAGGCTAAAAAAGCAATTTAAAAAAATATAACTGAATAAGTGCCATTCTCTTTCGTGTATTAGAATGAAATTGTCCCATGCTAGTAAAGAAATAACAAAGGAAAAATGCTTTAAAACATTGCTGTGACGGGGGAAAACTAAAGCATTTCTATTTATAACTTGTACAAAGTCCCACATAAAAATAGCTCCAACTAACAGATTTGCTCATATCTGGAATACAAAGTTGTTGCTGCCAGTGATTTGAGGAATTCTAATAAGAGGAACAACAGCATTGGTAAATATGGAAAATATATCATCTTTTCTTTTCCCTCAGTTTTCATATGCAGAGAAAATTATGGTTAGTGAAACAGTTCTGGGTGCTGTATTTTACCTCTTGTTATTTTCTAGCCTGTTGATCTCTTTTCTTTTAGGGAAAATGATACGTTTTCACCCTTTAATCCTACCCCATGAGGTGGATATATTATTGATAATTTTATCTCTGTTACTGAAATATTTGTCAGGCTAATAGATTTAATATTTTATTCTTCTACAGACTAATTTTGTGTGATTGATGTGACAGCAAACATATTAAAGAACCTCAAGTTAATGAAACCATTCTTTCTGTTATTTTCAGCGAAGTTTCTTGGGCTATGCCAGTTTTAAAGTGGGAGAGCTACTGAAGTCAAAGGAGCAGTTGCTGGCCCTGAGCCTGAGGTGGGTCTCTTTGTAGAAACACTGTTAAAGTTAATAACAAGCGGTATTTGTTGATGGCCAGTGTGTTTGAAAGTCACAATTCTTGCAGATGTTAGATGTCAGCTCTCAAATAGCTAATGTTCTCCACTGCAACAAGTTATAGTGAAACAGCAATTATTCAAATTCACATTGAAGTTCATGTTTCAGGTTGTGAAATGTTGTTAGCCCTTGTAAGAAAAAACAATATTACATTATCATTAAAGTGATGAAATTCTTTGAAAGTAAGAAAGTAGATATAAATTATGATCACATTATTAAATATTTTTTCTCTTATCAAAATGTTACTTTTTAATCAAATAACTTTCCATATTTGAAATATGTTAGAGGCAATATCGTAGTTTTATGATAATAGAGAGTAAGCTGATTATTCTTTTCTCAGCCTATGTTGGTGCTATACTATTAAGCATAAACCACTTAAACCACTTATCAGTTAAAACACATTCTTGACACAGACAATAGATCATAGCTAATTCTGAGTACAGTTTGCTTTGAAATAGGAGATGAGACAACAGTCTTTAGGAAGTCACACTATTTTAATTACTAAGAAGAGCGTTAAATAAAATAAACTTTTCTTTTTAAATTCAAAGTAAATTTGAAAACACATAAATTTTGAAACAATTGTTTTCTAACAGTATAGTAACTTTCATAATTATGCGTACATTGGGAATACTGCCTTGCACTATTTTTATGGTACAAATGAATACAACAGTTGCATAGAACACCATTTGTAAATGTTAAGACTCTCTTATTTTGATGAAACATGGAGACCACTTTCAAGGAGCTGGACAATGTCTTAAGTTTATTTGTCCCCTTCCACCAAGGACCCACTTGTAACCAACAATCTATTTCGATAAAGATGTGATGACTTATGCTAGCATCTCTACTCCACGATTTGTCTTTTTCTGATTTTTTTCTAATCCTTACAGCTCCTCATTTTGATTTAATAATACAATTTAAATATAATTTAAACTATGTAATACTTCAAGCAGAGAAATGAGTTGTGGATTCTAATGAGGCTGCCGTCTGCTCTAGCGTTCTTTAGGTTATGTCTCTTAAACATCTGGTGTTGGTGTTGGTGTTATATTTTGTATGGGAAAACATATTAAAATCTTTATGGTTTTATGATGCTATTACCAATACAATTTTGCTGCTGTTATTGTTTTCAGTTTGAAGTATAAAGGGTCAGCTAAAAAGGCTGGTTATCAGTGTCACAGATAACCTAAAAAAATCATCATTCTAGCCTGACTGTTGAATCTGACCCATATACCCGTGGATTCATAACAGAAGATATCAAACATTGAGCTGTCTTAGGACTCCAAGCAGTCCACATGTTTTCTAGATCAGATGCATACCATGTTCTTCTTCATCTTACTGATTCACAAGCCCCAGTATTCATTATGACATAACAGTCATTAGCATCAGAAGCATACTACACAGTAGTGCAACATTTAGACATTGGTTTGAAACAGAAATCAGGGGACCAGAAGTTCTTAGTAAAATGAAAATTAGTGAACACACAGTACCTTAGAGAGAGAACAAGCACCAAAGGGTCAGTTGTAGAGTATTACCCTTGAAAGAGAAAACAAATACATAAATGTCATATTTAGATGGAAGCAAGACAAATTTCTTCACTTTTTATTTTAATACCCCTGATCCTAGTCATTTGATCTTGATTATATAAAACAAATTCAACAACGAAGAATTGACTTTTCTAAAAAAAATGTAATGTTAGAAAACCAATTCTGAAAGGGCTAGGTTATTATTTTTCCCAGTTTTGTGCTTTGCCAAATTTGTGGTTTTCTCTCCCTATGAACCAGACAGATTATAGATTTATCATAGCCTCTTGATTTCTGGTAGATGGCTTTTTAAAAAAATTCTGATGTAATTTATTTTCTTTCCACTGATTCTGTCTCTTAAGTATTGAGTTAGAAGAGCCTTAGGTCAACCTTAAGAAGCATTTTTGTTTTGTTTCGATTTTTAAAATGTTCCTTTGCACAGATTATTTCTGACTTTTATTTTATAGTCATTAATTTTAAAACAATAAAATTCTCCGATTTCTGTAAAACAAATTCACAGAAGTAACAGCATTCTTTGATAATGAATAAAGTTCCTTTTCTTCATGATTAATTTTAGCTTCCCCAAATCTTACAGTTGTGCTTGTATTCACTATTTCTTTGGGGGCTTCTTATGTGATAATTCAGATTCTAAAACTTTCAAACTAATTCCACAGAGCACTGTGATTTAATATAGCTTCCATGTCATATGTGCTTTGAACTGGAGATCAAGGGCAGGGGATATATTG